CCTATCCCCCTGTGTGCCTTGGCAATTTCAGGACACGCCCATTATGCTTAGGAGTTTCTCCTAAATTCGCCAGTTAGGAGCTACTTTTAGCCCTAAAATCCTTTGTGAATACGGCCCCTGATTTCTAAATTGTATTGCAGTAAAGTATACAAGTATTTGCACCAAAATATACTTAAACTACCAAACGTAAAACTATTCGTTCTGCACAATGACCCATTTCATAATAATAAAAGGACATAATAGTATCAGCTAAATGTACTTCAAGTACCAAAAGTAAAATAGTCGTTATTCAGAATGGAAGTTTTTTTCACAGTATTATATCATTATGGCTATTATATTATCCTGTTTTAATGCAACAAGAGATTATAGAATGGTACTTTTCTCGGTGCGGACCAAATTTAGATACTTGAAAATACTGTGCAATATACCAGCATATCATGTGTTTTTACATTTACAAAGAAAATCTCAGTTTTAAATGGATCAACAAGTACCACTCAACTGTAGTGGAGTAGAAGTATAAAGTAGCTTTAAACGGAAATACTCAAGTAAAGTACAAATATCTAAAAAAACTACAGTACTTTAGTAAATGTACTCCGTTACTTTCCACCACTGGATTTGTTTGTAGATATTGGAGGGTTAAACATAATGTTAATAGTATTGATAATAGTTCTAATCATAAATGCACTGTGACGCACTATTAAAATGAATTTAAAATTCACATTGGTGTCACATCACTGACACACATTAATATAACACGAAATAAGTCTAAAAACGTCCAATGGGCAGGAGGAAGTACAAACTGTACCATGATCTGGGTTTACTTCGTCCCGGTTTAATGGATGTGTTTTATTAGTTTTCTACTTTCAAGAAGTGGGGAACTGTTTGCCGCTGATGATTATTTGTGCCCGTAGTAACATTACTTTGCTACACTACCTAACTAACAGGAATGCTGTGCATTACTTTTTGAATGATTAATTCATTAAAATGTTGATGAAACAGAGGAAGGAAGCAGTACCCACCGTCCTCCCAGCTTGAGATGTGTCCCACCAGCAAGCAGTGCAGCAGCCCGGTGACACAGGCCTTCATCCCGCGGGCTGTCCGGACCATGGAGCTGTAGAAGAACCGGCCTGACTCTCTGATGAAACTCACTGAGCTGCACTACGAGTAACGATCAGCTAACTAGTTATGTTACGTATTGCGCCGAGGCTTCGGAACGTGTGTCGAGTAATCCCCGAAGCTTTTTGTTAAGCATGTATCGAGGCTTGTATCGTTTTGGGCCAGTGACGTCACAGATGACAAACGAAGCCTGGCTGCCCCTCAATACCACGTGACTGCTTCAGAATGTGCTTTACATCGGTTGACAGCTAACGACCGCTGCCACTAACCATGGACCTGAGAGCTCAACTTCCGTGTTACGTCATCTGTGGTTGTTTTCGCAACCAATGGGGGACTTGCACGAGTGCAGCAGATCATTTCGTCATTCAATAACAGTAGGATGTAAATGTGGGAAATAGTTTAATAATGAAAAAGTATTCTATTTTAAACGATGGAGCCTTCTGCACTGCGTGATATTACATGAAGTCGAATGATTTGGGTTAGAGAGGACTTTCTACATTAAGCACGACCCAACTCCGCACCAAGGTGCAGTAACGTTTCCTGAAATGACAATAACAGAGCAGTAGTAAAAATCTGATCTTTTATTTGTTCTATCACCCATTTTTCAGCCCACATTATTACATTTCTGCTATAAGTTAGATATTTACATCATTCAAGGCCCTTCACAAAATGCAATTATGATTGATCTTTACAAAGAAATCTATTTACATTGTACAAAACATTGCATACATCATCAGCCATTCACCAAACCCTCTTTACCTTGCAAAACAAACCAAAACCCCCACATTATCTTCATGAAGAATGAACCCCCACCCCATTAAGTGTAATTGTGTCAATTTCTCACTTCTATAATTTCCAACCCAAACCACACATTTTTCCTTTCATTATCAGACAGACAGTTACTAGGTGAAAGACAGCTGGTCAGCAACTGATCTTCTCATCAGGACTGTCAGTAAGGCAGGTCAGATCACTGTTCTCAGATGTGTTCTCCTTAGGTTCCTCTTAAGCCTCGCATTGTCAGTGGACGGTGATGGAAGCCAATGGAAAACAAAATAAGTTATAGGCAACCAATACAATTAAGTTTAAGGCATGGCACACTAACAATGGACCTTGAGATGCTTTAGGGAAACAAACACTGTATAGTTTGCTTTATATTCAACTTTTTAATTGAATCCTGCTTATTCAATAATCAAATTAAGCCGTTGGAGTACTGTACTAGTTGCAAGCTAGAATGGCCCTTTAGTTGGAGATGAAAAAACCCTCTAGAGTGCAAATGTGAAGAACAAGCAAAAACAATTTAACATTGACACAGGTTAGTGTCAGCATGTTCAGCACGTGTCTTCCATCTCTGGGTTAGGGTTCGGGTTAGGGTTAACCTTCCCTGGAGGAAGGTTGCTGTATTTTCACTGACATGGTGAAATTGCCTATGGGCTTTTTTGAAAGAGATGGCTGAACAGGGCCAAGCAGAAGAATAGTTACAGATGGTCGTCCTTACATGTTGATTGTTTAAATACACAAAACAAGCCGAAACGTAAACATTCATGGGACCAACCAGCATCACCTGCTGCACTGATGAATCCTCCACCAATAAAAAAGACTCTTTGGTAGGTGAGCTAACAGTTGATTGGAAGGTCTAATAAGAGCATGACTGTTCAATAGCCAGGGTAGATTTTGATTTCTTGAATCAATGTAGTGGTTTAGAAAAGACCTGAGAGCCAAAGACCAAAAGAACAGAAAGAACGAGTGAAAAACCAACAGTATGAAGGACAGAGACAGAGCAGGTTTCCAGTTGTACTTCTGCCACCTGGATTGTCTGTGTAATGCATGAGCTTATGGAGCAACAGTTCCAACCAACTGTTTTTGGTTGAAGCTGTTAAAAGTCAAAACTCAGTATTTTTCATTGAGAAGCACTGACACTGACTGGCTCAAATCAAACACATGATTTCTTCAAAGGACAGTATCTGCTGGCTTTATCTGTAAACGATGAGTACGGATGTGTTTTTAAGTGGTTCTCCTTGTGCCAGTGGTGTTCAGACAGCCACTATGTTATTCATCTCCCATTTCTGAGTGGTTTTACTGTTGTCACAGTCTGCTATGAAGACTTTGTGGAGCAGGTCGGAGCGGTCCAGACATTTCCCTGTGAGGACAGAAAAAGACGAAGGTTAAGCTTAGTGTTTGATGGGATTCAAGCAACCTTCCCATATGAATCCCTGAAATGAAACCCAATCAGAAGAGGGTTTGCACTCCAATATTGATCTGATTAGTGATGCTACACTTGAGAACATTTGAGGTGGTGGCTCAGAGGCTTGTTTTTAATACTTCACCTGCGATGCTTTGTCCTTCAACAGGTGAAAGGTTCAAACAGATCCAAACCACGATGGTCACTGATAACTAAAATGAGTGCATTTATGCAATTTTTTAAGACTCTTTTACCATTGCCAGGTAAGACTTATGCCAACACGCCACATAGCATTGCACTGAAAAGGGATCATAATGAGCAACTCAGGTGCTGCGTTTCCATCATAGCCAATCAGAGATAAAGCGGATGAATGCCTGTGAAAGATTTGTTGAATAGACTAGAACATTAATGATGGAAGTATATGGTGGCCATGTCAATGCTCATTCACAAGTCCTAATACACATTACGTTTAAATAAATGAATGGTTTTGTTCCTGATTTATGACTAGAACAACTTGACACATTGTTGTGAGCTGCACCTGAAATTAACCTGCAGGTTTCAATTGGAGCTGACAAAAATGGTGATGGACCAAGACAAAAGCATTGTTCTCTCCACTCAAAAGCGCTGTGCACTCAATCTCCTTTGAATTGGTGAGGATGATTTATAGTGATGAAAATGAATTACTGTGTGGAAAATGTATGAACACTTGAAGATTTTTACCTGTTGGCATATGAGTGAACCGATGGAGATCCTGGAAAGAGAGAGAAGGTGAGTCCTATATTCAACAATTTCAACTTTGTGTGCATGTGTATTTGTATATGTACAGTGGGGCAAAAAAGTATTTAGTCAGCCACCAATTGTGCAAGTTCTCCCACTTAAAAAGATGAGAGGCCTTTAATTTTCATCCTAGGTATACCTCAACTATGAGAGACAAAATGAGAAAAAAAAAAAATCCAGAAAATCACATTGTCTGATTTTTAAAGAATTTATTTGCAAATTATGGTGGAAAATAAATATTTGGTCAATAACAAAAGTTCATCTCAATACTTTGTTATATACCCTTTGTTGGCAATGACAGAGGTCAAACGTTTTCTGTAAGTCTTCACAAGGTTTTCACACACTGTTGCTGGTATTTTGGCCCATTCCTCCATGCAGATCTCCTCTAGAGCAGTGATGTTTTGGGGCTGTCGCTGGGCAACACGGACTTTTAACTCTCTCCAAAGATTTTCTATGGGGTTGAGATCTGGAGACTGGCTAGGCCACTCCAGGACCTTGAAATGCTTCTTACGAAGCCACTCCTTCGTTGCCCGGGCGGTGTGTTTGGGATCATTGTCATGCTGAAAGACCCAGCCACGTTTCATCTTCAATGCCCTTGCTGATGGAAGGAGGTTGTCACTCAAAATCTCAC